TCTCATGCATCTTTTGTTGTTTGGCATGCAAAATTAGGACACCCTACTTTTCGCATTATTTTATCTTTGAATATGCATGGTGTAATCACATTTTCTCGTGAAGGCAATTTTGATTCAAAATTGTGTTTTGATTGTCATCTAAGAAAGAGTCGCTGATTACCTTTTCCTAAATTGAATCAATGATGCTCCTTTTTATTTGAACGAATTCATTGTGATTTATGAGGTCCATCACCCATCTCCTCTCCATCTGGTTATAGATATTATTGTCCCTTAATTGGTGATTTCTCTCAATTTCATTGGTTCTTTCCTATAATGCTTAAGTTAAAATTTTTTTGATATCTTTGTTCAATTTCACAAGTATGTCATTAATCAATTTGATTGCAAAATCATATCTTTTCAATTTGATGGAGGAACAGAATTTACCAACAAAATTTTTACATCCCTTCTTCGTGAGAATATTATCATACAATGCATAGCTTTTCCTCATACCCCAAATCAAAATGGTATTGCAGAGAGGAAAAATCGTCACGTCACTCAAACTAGCCTCACTCTTATGTTTCATTTGCATGTACCTCTTCATCTTTAGGTCAAGTCTTTCTCCATGGCATGCTATGTCATCAACTATCTTCCATCTTCCATTCTTGAGGCAAGACTGCTCATGAAGTGCTCTATGGTAAAAGTCCTTCTTACTCATTGCTTCAAAGTTTTGATTGTCTTTGTTTTTCCTTTCTACGTGATTATATGCCTCATAAATTATCATCTCGATCTTTTTCTTGTATTTTTATTGGCTATAGTCATCTTCATAAGGGGGTTCTGTTGCTTAGATAAGAAAACAAATAGGGTCTATGTGTCTGGCCATGTTCAATTTTTTGAAGATTATTTTTCTTATGCAACCTCCACTATTCTTCCTTTGGTTGGTAATGATTACGTCACTTTCCTAACTCAAATGATAACTTTGTCCCTTGCAATAGTTCTTCTCCTACAAATGTCAATTCAACAAATGGTTCGGCCTCCGACAGTTACCTTCCTTGTGCTAATGCAAATTCTTTATTGTGCCTTCCTTAACTCCCTCTCCGACTTCTTCACGTGATATAGTCATAGAAGTCTCTTCACCTGCATTTTCTTCCACTATCCAACTGTTTACACGTGCTTGAGATGGTATTGTCAAGCACCATGTCATTCCTTCGTATGTGCTTTTCTAGCTTCTACATGATTTCAGGCCCATTCACGATTAAGGAGCCTCGTGGCTTCAATAGTCATCAGGCATCTAGCCTAGCTCTCAGTAATGAACGAAGAAATGGCTATACTCAAGCACAAAAACATTACGATTGGTTCCTCGTCCAGCTGCTCATAATGTGGTGGGTTGTAAATGTATTTTTTAAGACCAAGCTTCATGCTGAGAGATCAATTGAGCTCCACAAAGTGCTCAAGGATTTTCTTAAAAGCACGGTACTGACTTTGACAAAACTCTTCGTCCAGTTGTTCGCCCTACTTCTGTTCGTATTATTTTGTCCCTTGTGGCTATGAATAATTGGCAAGTACGTCAACTTGATGTAAAAAAATACCTTACATGGTTTTCTCCCCAAAAATGTCCATATGGAAGTATGGAACAACCTCCGAGATATATTCATCCATAATTTCCAACTCACGTCTGTCACTTACTCTTTATGGCCTTAAACAAACTCCTTGAGCATGGTTTCAGCATTTCAGCCAATTTTTACTTGGTAATGGATTTATTGCCAACCAGGCTGACAACTCTCTCTTTGTCTATAATAGTCATATATCTTCTCCTCTATGTCGATGATATATATCTTCTAAACCGACTAATAATTGTTTTAGTCGGTAAATGTTGTTGCGCCATATCCCCTACCAAAATTTTGCTTCAAAAATACGATATTCAACGACCCATTGCATCTTGTCTTCAATTATGTCTCATCTAGGCCGACTAATAATTATTGTGGTCATTAAATACTGTTTTAAATGGCTAATTTTTGATGGGTCGATAAAACACCAGTCAACAAAAGGCGATTTTTATTGACTATTTCTATTGGGTTGGAAAAAAGCTGGTCAGTAAAGATATGGCCGACTAAAAAAATTTTTTTAGTTGGAAAAGCATTTTCACCTCCTAGTTTTAGGTTGATCGGGGAAATCTAGTTGGAAAAGCTATATTTTGTTGTGGTGTGGTGGGGGATGGGGAAAGGAGGATTTCCCGTCCCTATTTTATTGATAAGTATTTCACATAAAATGGAAGGAGAACGTGGCAACATTACATCCATAGATGCTCTTGGAGTTATTTATCTTCTCCTCTATGTCGATGATATATCTCTTCTAAACCGCCTAATAATTGTTTTAGTCGGTAAATGTTGTTGCGCCATATCCCCTACCAAAATTTTGCTTCAAAAATACGATATTCAACGACCCATTGCATCTTGTCTTCAATTATGTCTCATCTAGGCCAACTAATAATTATTGTGGTCATTAAATACTGTTTTAAATGGCTAATTTTTCGTGGGTCGATAAAACACCAGTCAACAAAAGGCGATTTTTATTGACTATTTCTATTGGGTTGGAAAAAAGCTAGTCAGTAAAGATATGGCCGACTAAGAACTTTTTTTAGTTGGTAGAGCATTTTCACCACCTAGTTTTAGGTTGATCGGGGAAATCTAGTTGGAAAAGCTATATTTTGTTGTGGTGTGGTGGGGGATGGGGGAAGGAGGATTTCCCGTCCCTATTTTATTGATAAGTATTTCACATAAAATGGAAGGAGAACGTGGCAACATTACATCCATAGATGGCTTGCACTAATTGATACATGGTAGACTATAATAAAATATTCTACCATTTCATTAATAGAATTCCTACTAATACTTTAAATTTCAATGTGCGTGAATCTGTGTGGTATCAAAAAACAGTTGTTTATTCTTAACTAAAACTATTTGGTTGTGCTGCATATGCTCATCAAAATACAAGAAAACTAGAACCTAGATCACTTAAATATATGTTTTCTCAAGTCATGGTGACAATTTTAAAGGATACGGGCAGTAGATTAAAGGGGAGAGAAGGTACAGGGTTATAATAAGAAGAGATGTTATCTTTAATGAAGCTATTAATCTTTAATGAATCTATTATGACATGTTTGGAAATAAAGACAAATGACTTAACCGAAAAAGATGTTCATATTATGGTGGAGATTCCTCACCGAGAAAGAATAATACTATGCCTAAAGAAGAGTAATTTGACCAAACTATTGATGCACCCTTAGAAGAAATTTAAGTTGACTGGAAAACTAGTCCTAAAGACTAAAAAGAACCTGCAATTTTGCTCATTGATGAGTATCAACCCACAAGAGATTGACAGAAAAGGTAGATTAGACCTCCTGCCGGGTTTGATAATGATGACTTTGTCTTGCTATTTACTTATCAAGAAGAGGCCGAAAATGAACTAAACTCCTATGGTGACACTATCAAAGGCAGAGATTCCAGAAATTGGGTAGCTACTATGGAAGAAGAAATGACTTCTCTCCTTAGAAATGAAACTTGAGAATTGGTGAAAAGGCCTAAAGATCATATACTGATTGATTGCAAATGGATCTATAAAATAAAGGAAGGATAAAGGGGCAAAAATAATGTTAAAGTACAAAACTACACTTGTTGCCTAAGGGTTTTCACGAAGAGGGTATAGACTATAATAAAATATTCTACCATATAATTAAATACACTACTATTAGACTATAATAAAATATTCTACCATTTCGTTGTATCTAATCTAATAATATCATGCAATCTAATAATATCATGCAACTTTCCATGGCTCTCATATAGTTCCAAGGTGTGAAGCTCCTCGCTCACCTTAGTTTGCTAGCAAGTCCGCCGCGCTATTTTCTTCCTTGAAAATATGAGAAAATTTAACCTACATCTAATCACACATCATAGATGGCTTGCACTAAACTAATTGATACTGGGTTTTCCACGGATCCAAATTAGTACTGTTAATTACTTGGAGTCAAGAGGTCCGCCCCCTGCTTGGAGTTGACTTCAATTCATGAGCAGATCCACTTGGGGTCACGTATGTCTCAAAACTAGAGTTGCCCCAACTCTATTCCTTTTGTCTGATTGCTTTCTTTTCCAGTTTTTCTCACGGCCGCTCACTACACAAATCAATAAACCCTCTGAAATTCACTTTTTCCTCTTCTTTGAAATTGAATTATTTTATTATTTGCGGTGTGAGCCTCAGAATCGAATTAAATCAAATCCATCACTCTCGTCTCTCTCTGGGTTTGAAATTGTATTTTTCAATTATTATTTGAAATCTTTATGTAGGTTCTTGATTTTATGATTTAAATGAACATTTAATCAATAAATTGATTGTTTTCGTTATTTATTCATTGCCTGACTGCCGATTCATGTTGAATTATGAACTACAGCTTCTAGATTAAATCCCAAAAATAAAAATGTTTTTGTCTGTTGAACTGATGGAATTTTCTCTTGCTATTCAGTAAAAATTAACTAACATTGTTGATGTGCGAGATTGGCCGTGGTCGCTATTATTACGTACTAACAGCTGCAGCAGTGTATTGACTTATTTTTATCAATATCAGGTTGTTTAAAAAAAATTGTATTTTAATTTTTGATCACACTATATAAATAGTGTCTGTCCAACCCTGCTTCATTCAAATGCTTTTTGGATCCTTTCTGATTATAAAATTTAATGCCCTGATATATTGCTCGAATTTTATTAATTACTAATGGGGACGGTCCTATCCAACTATTTATTTATCACAAAATCATAAATTGACTTTCACTTTTGATTAGCCAAACATGAATCTTGCCAATCCACGCACATAACTTCATCCTAGCATTCTATAACACTAAATTTATAGTCCTTTAGACATGCGAACTTGATAGACTTTGCAATTCCCCCAACCCACTCCAAAAGAAATGAGGAGAAAATTAGAAGAACTTACAAGAATTTAAGATAATTGTAATTTAAAGAGTACATACTAATCAAAAAGTGAAAGACTAATGATATATAACATCGCTAGTACTAAAAACATCATCCTATGTGGCAACATATGATAAGTCCAACTAAATAAGTCCTATAATATCGCATTTAATAAACTTATTGTTTAATGTCGTATATATGCCACATACGGTGGTGCTAAACCATAACATTATATTTAATTGGACTTATCATTTAATGCCACGTACATGTCACACGGGATAGTTTTTTAGCATTATTGGTACAAGACAACACTGTTCAAAGCAAAAACAAATCCCATCACTTCTATTGAGAGCTTTTGGCTTTTCCCAAGAAAAAGAATCCAAATAAAGATGCCACGGAGAAAGCCGAGAAGCAAACCGAGGCAATGTCGAGCGAGGCACGGCGCCCACTTATTGCCTCGACTTGGAACAAATTTCTAGTCTTTTGAGCATCGGTGTTCTGCCCATAGGCAACCTCTTCATCTGCAGAGTTGTAAGCATACGCCCTAATGAAATACGTAGCAGTAGGCACATCCCTTTCCACTGTCCAGGTGAAATTGTTGTTGGAACGACTGTATGGCCTGGAAACAATATTGTGTTGACAGGTTTTGTCCTTTTCTAAATTGTCCTCAGTTTTTCTCCAGGCTCTATCCTGTTGGCTAATGGGTGCATAGCAAAGTTTCAACTTCACTGTTTTGTAGGCTGAATCTGTGCCTGCTTGAAAGGAATTGTTGTATGACCACGTTATTGTGATTTTGTCTTCCCCAGCTTTCAGGACTGCAATTTTGAAATCGTAAGAGTTAGCAAGAAATCTAGTATTTTATATGAAAATAACATCCCTTGCTAGGAATTATGAACTGAACATAAACCAAGGCAGAAAAATCGAAAAGACTAATAAAATTGTAGAAAGAAAATAGATACACAAGAATACACAAAATTTATAGAAGTTCGCTTAATATGAAACTACGTTCTCTTTTGTCACTATAGTAATTCATTATGATGAAAAAAAGTTTGGAAGTATGAAATCTCACGCCTTATTTTTCTTTAACCTTTCAATCCGCATATGAAGTCCGTACACCAACAATAATTAGGTTTCACAACTTAACATTGAAAATATCGTAAATCATGGAGAATATGGTATATGCTTAACATCAACTCCTCATTTTTGAGAAATTTTTGAATGAAGAAAAGGTAATTAATAGACTGATAAATTATATTTACCTTTTCCTTCTTGATGTGACTCAGAAACTACAAGAGTTTTCTGCAGAGAAGAAAAGGTCACTCCATAGGAAGTGGATGCCAAACAGGAAAGAAGAAGTGAAGCCACGAGAAAACCTTCAATTGCTGCCATTATGACTTGTAATTCAACCTAGAGCCGAGAGAAATATTTGTGATCCCAATGAGGCTTAAGTGCTGCAGTTTGTGTGTATTTATAAGGATTTCAAAAGGCAGGGAAACTGGAAACTACACCTTTCTCCTTTTATTTGTTTATTTTTTTATAAGTTATCATAGATGGATGACCACATGCGAGATTTAACACAAGGCATTTTGATTATTATAAAATATAAAGTTGAACAAAGTCATTTAAACATTTAAAACTATAAATGTTTCACCAAAAATTGATTTTCTGTTTATCCATTAATCTTTAGGATAAGAACATCTCCAATAGGTTGTTTATTGACCTTATTTTTTCAATTATAGAGAATCAGTCCTCTCTTTGAGGTGTTTAATATACTCTATATCTTCAAAAATTAAAATAAAGAGTGTGGATTTGGCTCTCTAAAATTCTCTCCCAGACACTGTTTCATTTATTGCTGTACAATTTTCTATGAAATTATTTAAGACAAAAAAAGGAAAAATGATGAGAAGTAATTGCTTATAGTAATATACAAAATAATGAATTCGTAGGGTATTATTGGAGTTGTGTAAAAAATAAACTCTTTATTTTTCAAAAATTTCTTAAGATGTTCTTTAAAATAGTTGATGATCCAAAAGTAATCTCTATTTTGATTCTTTATTTTTACTTTTTCAATAATTATTTATTATTTTTTCTCATCTTTTGTTTAACATATTTTTTAGATATCAATGATTAATCTCTCAAGTATTGTTTGAATAATTTGATAAGTAAATTATTAATACAACTAAATAAATGCAAATATTATGAAGTAAGAACATTTTCTAGAGCCTCTTCAAAAGTGAATTGATCTCTATAACCCTTAAGATTATGTTTGAGAGGATTTTCAAGTTAACATTTTAAAATAAATAATGACTTTGATGCTAATGCGAAAATATATTTCGATTTAGCACCGTAAGTGTACGATTCGTAACAAGTAATAAAGTGGAATGAATAGTTCCGAATATCGTCTCACAAAGATTGATTTAGTTCAATTTTACCTATCTTGACCTTAACTGAAACCAATTTATCAAAAGTATAACTGTGATGTGAATATAACTAAACTAACCTATGTATGCAATTATGAATGATCTAAACGAAACTAAAATGCAATTTACGTTTGAATGCAAATTTGATTAATCTAATATATGAAGATACACAATGATCGCAAATCCCCATGCAATGATCCATTTTAACCCTAATTCTACAAACTAACAACATGATTGAAGTTGAAGAATCAATAATTCTGTTTTATTCAACAATCTCTCTCGGGTAATGTTGAACCTATTTTCATTTACGACCCAACTATATCTCTATGACGAATGCAAGTATCAAGAATGCATGGATTTTTGTGAACACTTAGAGATTCACGCAGGTCATAATAGTATATCTCTATCCCCTATCGGACTCTATGATGATTTATATCTTGTCGAGCTTATTTCCCTTTTCTCGAATACATGAAATACGCCACCAAATTCACACAATCACATGCATAATGATTGTGGAGAAAAAAGTACATATAAATCATTCAAATTCAAAGAACATGTTTTATTGTCGAAAATGTAAAACTAAAAATGAAAAGATTACATCATATGGTTCATCGTTCTCTTAATACAAAAATATCTAGCCTAACATGGGGCAAATAAGAAATCACAAAGAAATCTAAAGAAACGACATCATCGGTTTAATGTTCTAATTGAATTTTCATATAATCCCGTCAATCTTCATGATTTTTCTTTTATTTTTAGCTCAAAATCTCCTTCAAAGTATGTTCTAATGTCTTCCATGTGTTCTCCCTTGAAATTGACGGCCTTAGGGTTTTTATATAAGCTCAGCGATTTGTTTCCATAAGAATTTTAATCGAAAAAGGAAACTAGAATTTTCGGCTCAAGTTTGTACCATTTGACCGCATTGTTATGCACAATTTCCCTTGATCTTTCTCTGATTGCCACATGAGACCACATGGTATAAATTTTCTTCCATTTTGGTCCTCGAATTTCTATTTCTTGCTTTTTGAGCTCTTTTCTCCTTTTTCTTCTCCCAACATTTCAAGTTTTCAACAAATTGTTCCTTGATCAATTAACATCTTCGTTTATGGTTTTGGTTCATCTTTTGGTTATTTACACCTTGGTTCCTGAACTTGTATTTTCTGCCATTTTGGTCCTTGAACTAATTAAATGCAAATATTATAAAGTATGAACATTTTCTAGAGGCTCTTTAAAAGCGAATTGTTCTCTATAACCCTTAAAATTGTGCCTAAGAGGCTTTTCAAGTTAACATTTTAAAATAAATGATGAGTTTGACTCTTCAATTTAATACATTCAAAATATAAGTAATGTTATTTAGTTCCACTGGATTATAACATAGTCTATATGGCGCTAATGTAATATTAAATGATGAATACAATTAAATGAAACATTTCATTTCACATTTCATTTAGTCTAGCACTTAACACCATATAAACTAGGGTTATAGGATTATGCAACTTTGTCAGATGAATGGTGATAGATACAATGACAGATTCGTATGTGGTAGAAAATGATTTGATGAAAAGGAAGACTGTATTTTAAAAAATTCAATGATAGAGTCTCATTTGACATTATGTCAATAATTCTGACGCTATAGCATGATTGGGGGTTATAACCTCAGTGGAGTTAAATAGCATTATAGTCAAAATATTACAATTTTCGATGTTTTATATATTGACTTAACTAAAAGTATATAGAAAAAGAAGAAAGGTAGATATAATATAATAATTTGGAGGGAAGTTAGTAAAAATAAAATATAGGAAAAAACAATAAATACATATTCGAAGTGGTAAAATTAAGTGTTAAAAATAAAAGAGATTGTTGGAATATCTAAAAAAATTTATTCTCTAAATTTATTGATACTTTCTAAATTATAAAATATACTCTTTAAAAATAGAGGATCTCTTGAAAATGCTCTAAGAATAAAGAGCATGTTTGACTCTCCAATTTAGAGAATCAAATTCATTCTATTTTAAAAAGTTAAAATAAAATGTCTGTTGAAACTTATTTGTTGAATTTTTAAAATAAGGAACCTCTTATATTTTAGAAATTTATTGGAGATTGCTCTAAGGCGGACAATTTGTTTACGCAAGTGGAAAAGGTCAAACTCTCCAACTTGGAGCATTTGTTTATATTTACAGAAGATGTTCACAAAATTTTATGAGGGTGTATATAGAAAATGAATTTTTCAGATGCGAAAATGGCTCTAGAGCATGTTCAAGAGTTGGAGTTAATTAATTTAAGAATTGTTTAGAATTTATGCGTTTGGGGTTTGGCCCTCATTTGTCACCAATTATTTGAAAATTTAATGGTTGAAATAGTATTTTTTTGAAAAATTTTGGTTAAAAAAATAAAAATTTTGAAACTACGTGTAGTATTATTTTATTAAAAAATGTGTGATTGATACGAAGAAAGAGAAAAATGAATTATATGCCTCCATTTGGTAGCAATTTTTCACTCAAAAAATTAATTTTTTTTATCGTTATTTCACTATTCTAGCCGTCATTTTTTATTTCTTCACTCGTAGGTAGAACACACTTTTTTCTCTAACAGTCAAGAGATGACAAAGACTGTTTTGCAACGGTGAGAAATTATAAGCTAATTAAAGAGTATTCATTTCATTTTACAAGTTAACCAATCTGGTTTTGGTTATGGATGGACCAAAGAATCATGCTATTTATACAAATCAAATTGACAAACTTTGTTTACAAACTATGTATTGACAACATTTAGGTCAATCATTTCAAAAATAACTTTGAATCAATAGAAATCAATGGCCTAAATCTTGTCAACACTTGATTTGTACACAAAGTTTGTACAACTAGATTAATTCTTGACGAAAAATGGATATTTTGAGATTAAATTGCTTAAATATTTTCTTTATTGTTTCTTGACAATCGTATTAAGCAAGTTGCACTAATCAGTTGATCGGATTAAACTACCATATTATTCGCTTGACTGGTGGGTTACTAGCAGAATCGATACAACTAATATTAAATATAATTTTTATAAAATTATAAATTAAACTTTTGAATTATTTGCATTTTTCATTTATGAAAAAAGATAGAAGTTTTAAAAGGATCAGAACAATAATAAATTCGTCTAGCAAAATAAAATAATGAATTTGCTATTTTAATTTTCATGTCCTTTAATTTTCATGTCATGTTTCTAGAAAAATGAAAATTGAGTATTTAGTTATCACATAAAGTTGCTTTTAAGTTGAAGCTTGTATTAAATCGTGTAGATTATTGATTATTATAATCATCAATTAGTTTAGTCAAACTTCATGTCACACCAATTAAGTTGTTTCCTTTTTTTTCAAATTATGATTTGTTCCTCTCTTTTTGACTAGCTTATAAAGAACAATTAATTTTTTTTTCTTATTGATTATGACGTAAGTAAGCTCAAATAATGGACTCATTTAATTGTTAACCATTACTATTTTTTTTTTTTTTTCAATTAAACATAAGAGGATGTTTGATAAGAACTAAAATAAGATTTTTTAGTAGATTCTGATAGAAGTTTTTAAAATGTGTAGTTGAAAAGTTGCGGGGCATATGAAATATATGGTTAATATTGATTATTTGATTTTAACTTAAATTAAAATCAGATTTTAATCAAAATCAAACGAGGGCTAAAAATATTTTGAATAAATAAAAACTACCTTATTGCATCCTGCATGATCTCAAACAATAACAAGCCTCAATTTTTAACGCCTGATACATATTTATATATTCGATAAGGCATAAATTATTTTAATCTTAAGGAAGAAGTCAGAGCAATAACATTAGTTTATCTGTGCTAAGATATGCAAGTTCATGCACGGATGATGTAATTGAGCAACTACTCAACCAACTTTGAAATTTTTTATTGGGAAATGCAACTTGTCCCGACTCGGGGACCGACCAAATCCAGGGTGCCGAGGTGACAACATCTCGGCCCTTGGATCTGAAAAAAAAAATGAAGTTCAAATCGGGGGCTGAAGTGATGCCACCTCAG